GAGGGTAAGAACCTCACTTGGAGAGAGAGGGGAGAAGGAGGTCAGTGTGTGGGTGAAGGGAGGGTCTGGTGACCCAGCGGTGAGTAAAGGTGAGTCAGAAAAAGAAGAGCGAATATCATCAACCTTTTTTTCAAAGTGGTTAACAAAGTCGTTTGACAGAAGGGAGGAGGGGGGAGGGGCTTTGGGGGGGTCCAAGAGGGGGGAGAAGATAGAAAAATAGTTTTTTGGGATTGGAATAGGAAGATTGGATCTTATCTTGAAAGAAAGTGCTTTTTGCCTGAGAGATGGAAGCAGAGAAAGAGGAGAGGAGAGCCTGATAGGTTAGGAGGTCGTCATGGTGTTTGGATTTCCACCATTTCCGCTCTGCTGCCCGAAGGATGGTTCTATTAGCACGTAGTGCGTCATTTAGCCAGGGAGCAGGAGGGGACTGACGAGCCTGCCGAGATGTGAGAGGACAGAGAGAGTCCAGAGAGGATGAGAGAGTAGAGAGGAGAGTTTCTGCAGCAGAGTTTGGAGGCAGGAGTTGGAACGAGTCAGAGGAAGGGAGGGCTGAGAGCACAGATGAGGCAAAGGTAGAAGGGGAGAGGGAACGGAGGTCACGGAGGTTACGGCGGACAGGTGCAGGGTGAGAAGAGATTAGGTTGTTATGTTTGGAAAGGGGTAGAGAGAATGAAATGAAGAAGTGATCGGATGTGTGAAGCGGGTTTACAGAGAGGTTAGAAGTAGTGCAGTTCCTTGAGAATATGAGATCAATGACATTGCCAGCGTTATGAGTTGGTGGGGATGGAGACAGTGAGAAAGCAAAGGTGGTTAACAGAGATGTTAGTTNTCCACAGAGAAGTCTAAAGAATCTTTATAACACAGTTTCCAGATTTGTGAAACCTTTTATTCTATTTGTGAAAATCACCAAAAAGGGAGATTTCAGTGCTTTTTTACATGCAGACACGATTAGACAGGTCCTGATCTGCGAAACCACACTAGACCGTAGACTCATCAAAATCTGGAACTGGGGATCTATCCCAGGGGCGTCTAAAGATTCTTACCTAACACAGTTTAGATTTTGTGAAACCTTAATTTCTATTTGGTGAAAATACAAAAAAGGGAGATTCAGTGCTTTTTTACATGTAGAACCAGCAGTTAGACCAGGTCTTGATCTGCAAAGCCGGGATACTAGACCTAGACTCATCAAATCTGGACTGGATTATCCCAGAGGGTCTAAAGATTCTTTATAACACAGTTTTAGATTTTGAAACCCTTTATTCTATTTTGTGGAATATAACAGAACAAGGGACGAATTTGCAGCTTTTAAAAAAAATCAGACCACATTAGAACCAGGCCCTGTTCTAAAACCCACTAGATCTAACATCAAATCTGGACTGGATTAATCCCAGAGGGTCTAAAGATTCTTTATAAAACCATTTCCAGATTGTGAAAGCTTGTAGTTCTATTTGTGTGAAGGAATACAAAAAGGGAGTTTTGATGCTTTTTTAAAAATCTACAGAGACCACATAGACCAGGTCCTGATCTAAAACCTATAGCGTAGACTCATCAAATCTGGACTGGATTATCTCCGAGACTCTAAGATTCTTTATACACACAGTTTTAGATCTCTTGTGGAAACACTTAATTCTATTTTTGAAAAATGGACAGAGAAAAAGGGAGATTCAGTGCTGTTTTTTTACATGTAGACCAGCATTAGACCGAGGTCCTGATCGTAAAACCACTAGACTAGGACTCATGGCAAATCTGTGGACTGGGAGTTATCCCAGAGGGTCTAAAGAATTCTTTATAGACACAGTTTGGATTTTTGAAACTTTATTCCTAATTGTGAAAATACAAACAAGGGAGATTTTGCGCTTTTAAAAAATCTAGCAGACCCACACTTAAGACCACAGGCCCTGATGCTAAAACCAACTAGATCATACATATAAAAATCTGGACTGATTATCCCAGAGGGTCTAAACATTCTTTATAACATAGTTTCAGATTGTGAAACCTTTTATTGTATGAAAACCTTATACCATTATTATAGCCTTAAAACCTTATCTTAATGTCAAGGGCAGCGGTCAGTGTCAGCTGACAGTAATACACCTCTGTGCTGAGAGATGTTTCTTGCACCCAGTTAGTTTCAGTCTTTGATGAAAAAAACATGTACCATACACCTTGAAATGACAATACCTGGCAAATAACAGTAGCATTTGAAGGAGGGCAAAAACAGTACAAAAAAATTGTTTTGTCTCCTTTCTGCACTGAACCATGGACAACTTCATACTGATCAACTTCAGCATGTGAGCAGCACAGAGGTGTATTACTGTCAGCTGCACTGACCCCCGCCCTTGGAATTAAGATAAGGTTTTAAGGTATAAGGTATAAGGTTTTATAGAATAAAGGTTTCACAAATCTGAAACTGTGTTATAAAGAACCGTTTGACCCTCTGGGATAATCCAGTCCAGATTTGATGAGTCTAGGTCTAGTGGTTTTAGATCAGGACCTGGTCTAATGTGGTCTAGATGTAAAAAAAGCACTGAAATCTCCCTTTTTTGTATTTTCACAAATAGAATAAAGGTTTCACAAATCTAAAACTGTGTTATAAAGAATCTTTAGACCCTCTGGGATAATCCAGTCCAGATTTGATGAGTCTAGGTATAGTGGTTTTAGATCAGGACCTGGTCTAATGTGGTCAGGATGCGAAAAAAGCACTGAAATCTCCCTTGTTTGTATTTTCACAAATAGAATAAAGGTTTCACAAATCTGAAACTGTGTTATAAAGAATGTTTAGACTCTCTGGGATAATCCATTCCAGATTTGATGAGTCTAGGTATAGTGGTTTTAGATCAGGACCTGGTCTAATGGTCTAGATTTTTAAAAAAGCATAAAAATCTCCCTTTTTGTATTTTCACAAATAGAATAAAGGTTTCACAAATCTGAAACTGTGTTATAAAGAATCTTTAGACCCTCTGGGATAATCCAGTCCAGATTTGATGTCTAGGTCTAGTGGTTTTAGATCAGGACCTGGTCTAATGTGGTCTAGATTTTAAAAAAAGCTGCAAAATCTCCCTTGTTTGTATTTTCACAAATAAGGGGCGTCGGGCCGAACCACGCCCCTTAGCTGTGATATAATGAGCATATACCACGGCCTGTCGTGAGCTATTGCTTAAATATATCAGGCAGGTACACAAATAACAACAGTATAACACTACACTGATTGCAAGGGGATCCATATCGTTCATTTATTACTTGTATAGTCTATAAAACATGTCTTCTTTATGTTCATACTTTTAGGGCCAACTCAGCCAACTAATATGGCTTTATTTAGTCACTTCTCTTCACTATATTAATCATAAACATATATATTTCTCTATTTATGGATTTGGAGGTGGGGTTGTTACTGTTTTTTGTTGTGTTAGCCTCATGTTTGTGTATAAAAAGTGCTCTATACATGAGGATTTATTGATTGAGTGATTATGTAGGATCACATTTGCAAAACTTGCTCCTTTGCTTTCCTCTGCTGTGCATTAATGTGCATTAATTATTAAAAATGAAAATCACCATCGCTCTTCTTTGCATGACTTAATCTTCTAGTACTCAGGGCTGAAAAATTATCCCTGATGAACCCTTATTAGAGGAATGTATAAATATATTCAAGAGGTTAAATATTGGCTGTGGAGGACAAAGGTTATATTTAAATGCATATTAGTGACAGAACACAGTAGAGCAGAATAAAACTACCACCCCAAATAACACTTCTTCTTAATGATGAATTATTTCCCTCCAAATGTCTGTGCACGTCCCTGCAGCACATTGATCAAAGTTGTTGTTTACATTTAAATTGGACATATAACGCACATTTTCAGGTTCATATTTGTAATTTAGTGCTTCTACAGTGACATGTCTCCATGCTTTAATGTTCAAAAAGCTCTTTATATTTCTCATACTGCCTGTGCTGCAGCACCTCTTTTCCCCCTCTGTCTGAAACCAGAGCCCAGCTCTATGGTGATGTCACTATGGTATGAAGTAAACAAAGGAGTCCAATGGAGGCATTAAAGGCAGGGGGGGAGTGTGTGAGAGAGATTCTCCCTCTGGATGGAACACAGGGATTTTAGCATTTGCAGACCATTTACATGCACACAAACCTATATAAGACACTGCAGGAGAGGGAACACCCCCAAAAGCCAAATAGGTCCTCTTTAAGTTTTCAATATGGCGACGTACTATAATAAATTTTAGCTGCTTGACTCTTCCTCACCCCCCTCTCTGTCCTCAGGAGCGTTTACTGCTGTCCTTACTGCCGGCTCACATAGCCCGGGTGATGAAGGCTGAGATCATCCAGAGGCTGCAGGGGCCCAACTTTGGTCGAACCGAGAGCACCAACAACTTCCACAACCTCTACGTGCAGCGACACACCAACGTCAGGTGAGGCTGCTTCTCTTTATCTGTGCTTCCACAAAATGAAGGTTATAATCTTCTGCTCTATTTTAACATGCTGTCCTCCCCCTCGTCTTCTTTTTTTCCGGTCTACCTGCAGTTATATTTGGATTTCTTCCTTACTCTGTGCTTCTCTATAGAGTGGTGCAGTGTTGACTTATTTTTGTAGGTCGAGCAGTGAGTTAGCATTGCAAGGGTTTCCTTGCAGGAAGCCAATGGCATTTTTCCATTGAATTTTGAAATATTGCAGTCGAAGCATAATAGAAATGACCAGAAGACTATAACATTATATATAGACTATAAACAAACTCCATCACGGTCTCACGACTTCATGTAAACACAGCTAAGCTAAAGGCAGCTAATAATTGGTTTAATAGTCTCCTATAGTCACTTGTTAGCTTTGTAAAGGCACAAAGAAGCTTTGGACATTACGAGAGGAGTATTACCATATTTACTGACGTATGTAACGCCGTAGAACAAAACCTAATAATCCCTTTAGCTTGTGTTAACCACAGAGCTTATTTCAGGCATCGGACCAAAAACTCATTAAAAACCTGGAAGTGCTAAGAACTCATTTTGGGGTTTAGGACTCATTCATGAACGACTCTATAGTCTCCCTTTCTAACCTCCTCGCCTTTTCTTTTTTCGCCATCACTTTTAAAACCCATGTTCTTATCTATTTTGATTGCTATGACCAAATTAAATCAATAGTTAATTCACATCCATTGTTCTTAGGTTGGTTCTAAGGTCAATCTGTACTCAAAGATGTCCTTCTATGTTGTGGAGGTTCATAGCTATACAAATCCAGGCTGACCATGAGAGCCTCTCCATAGAAAACCTGTTTCCCATCATGCCTGAGGTTTACAGGGGAAACAATGACTGTGAGCGTTTCAAGTGGGCCTCAGATGTGCGCGCGCGTGTGTGTGTGTGTGTGTGTGTGTGTGTGTGTGTGTGTGTGTGTGTGTGTGTGTGTGTGTGTGTGTGTGTGTGTGTGTGTGTGTGTGTGTGTGTGTGTGCGTGTGTGCGTGTGTGCGTGCGTGCGTGCGTGCGTGCGTGCGTGCGTGCGTGCGTGCGTGCGTGTGTGTGTGCTGAGCTGCCTTTTATCCTTCAGTAATAACAGATTCTCACTCGGTCTTAGCTCACAGAGAAGAGGGCAATCTCAGAAGTGACACCCAAGGACATGTGGCAGTGTGAATCTGCTGCTTCCTCCCACACACACACACACACACACACACACACACACACACACACACACACACACACACACACACACACACACACACACACACACACACACACACACACACACGCACACGCACACACACACACACGTTTAGTGCAGAGACAAACAGCAGCCTCCTGTCTGCAGCGGCGATAATTGCTCGTTGGTTGCTTTGTGCGTGTTTTATGCTCATTGAAAGACATGTCCTTCTCTTTTGGATATCGTCTGGTGCATTTGCAGATTTGTCATATTTCCAAAGAGCAGACAAAACGTACGAAGTGCTGACGCTAGAAGTCTGTTTCTAAACCTTTTTATACATTTAGCTAAAACTTGCCTCATTGTTCAGGATTCAGGAAGATGTGAAGTTTATAGTTTGTTTTGTGATATTGTTTCAATTCTGGATAATTTTACTTTTAAGAATACTACAAAAAGAGTCGGTAATTACTGATATAAATAAATGCTAATTCCTTTGCCTAGATTGATTGGGAGGGACTGCAGATCCCACTGTTCTGCTGTCCCTAAAATGTCTTTTGACTCAGATTCTATTCAAATGGCAATGTGTTCTTTATACTATGAGTCAATAGGACTTGCAAAAGATGTTGCAATATTTAGAATTGTACCCCTGTATTCAACCGTATATCCAGATTATTGCAAGTACAAAGCCCTATTATTAAGATGACAATAACTTGCATAGCATTAGAGACCTGAATAGAGAAGCGTTCCTTCATTCAGTCTTCGTTGGGTTTGTAGTTTTTCAAGTTTGCTAAAAGGAGTAAAGGAGAAGGTTTATTCCATAGTAAAATGTTTAATCTACTGCCACCAATGTGAAAGTGTTCAACTGAATAGCTTTGTGGAAAACAACACTGCAGACAAGTTAAGTCAAAGCAAAACGCAATAAACGCTCCATCTTCATGTTGCTCTACTAATAAAATGGCCCTCTCCTGCCTCTCCTAATGCAGTACAAACAAGATATGCCATGAATGAAAGTGTTATTTCACGGTAGTTTTATTCAGTAATGAAATCTTAATTATATTATATGTTGTTCTTGTTTTGTGCAGCATTCTGTACGCAGACATCGTGGGCTTCACCAGGCTGGCCAGTGACTGCTCCCCCGGGGAACTGGTCCACATGCTGAATGAACTTTTTGGCAAATTCGACCAAATTGCAAAGGTAAATCAGAAATATCCCATTTTATTGATATAACCACATTTCATACACAGCGTGCTGCTTCAGATTAAAGCAATTGAAAAGCCAAGGATCCCTAATGATCTCCTAAAACACTCTTTATTGCTCGAGCCTCCATGCAACAACCCAACAACACTAAGCCCACTATCTTGAATTGTATGGCAATTTCAGCTAATGTGGCCTGATGTATTTAAAAGTTGACCTTATTGGAATTGTTTGCACAAATCTGCTAAATACAGCGAAGGAGAGATCAGGTTGAGTTGTGTGCTGTCACTCACTCACTGCTCGGCCTTGAATGAAAGTCTTCTCTGTCCTGGGGCCAGCGTCGTACCTTCCCAGAGTGCTTGGCATGTTAACAGCTGCAGGTCAGGTTGTGTGGGCTGGTCAGAGTGTGTGTGGTGGCCTCGTGGGCTCTCAGTTTTCCGGGGATAAACAGTTGAGTCAGTTTCTCTCCGCGTTCCTGTCCAGAAGCTCTGACGAAGCCGGCGTTACATAAAGCCGCTCCGACGATGAGCTGTATCACATGTGGAGCCAGAGCTGATGTGTGATGTGTGGGGGTGTTTGATTCTGTGTGTGTGTGTGTGTGTGTGTGTGTGTGTGTGTGTGTGTGTGTGTGTGTGTTGTGTGTGTGTGTGTGTGTGTGTGTGTGTGTGTGTGTGTGTGTGTGTGTGTGTGTGTGTGTGTGTGTGCGTGCGTGCGTGCGTGCGTGCGTGTGTGTGTAATGTACAGTAAGTTAAATAAAAACAAGACATTAATCTTATTTATTCTCCCTGTAAGCATTGAGTCGTTGATGAGTGCTTGTTATATGTAGATATAATTATAGTTATTATATTTTACCTTTCATTGCACATTCTAACTTTGACTGTATGTTGTATACATTTTGTAAAGTTTTATTTAAATTACCTTTTATTTCATTTTAAAATGGAGGAACTGTTATATACCCAACTTTCTACTTGATAAATTAAGTATTCTGATGCTGCTTATGTGAATTATTATATTTCTCACTATATTTATCTGACAGCTCTATTTGCTATTTACCTTTCAAATTAAAAAGTTACAAACAAAGCCTACGTGTTTAAAGGGTTTATATTATATATATATAGAGAGATTTTTCAAGAAAAAAAAAAGAATTCTCTATTGAGCACTCTAACTTTGAATACTTTAGGTACATTCAATGTATTAGGTATACCTACCTAAAGTATTTTTTACAGTGTGGTATAGTACCTTTATTTAAGTATGGAATCAGAATACTTCCTGTACAGGTGTTTGAGTTGTGTGAACATGAGACAGAGCAGGAGAAAGTATATTTTTCAATGAAAAGTTGTTGAAGATAATGAAAATGTTGGACAATGAAGATAGTGTTAAATGCACACGGTTTCCTGACCAATTTAAAGGTCACCTATTGTGCAAAATCCACTTTTCCCCTCTGTGTAAAGAGATTCTGAGAGTTTCAGGAAAAAAGATTCACTCACTGTTTGTCCTGATCCATTTATATAAAAACCTGTCTGAAAATGAGCAGATCATATTTTGGCCACTTTATGATGTCATAACGATTTATTGGCTTGCGTAACTTTCAGCCAATCACCAACTTATCAACAACTTATCACCTCAATCTCCTCCTAGAGCACCATTGTGTTCTTTTTAACCAAATATCTCTCAGAGGGGCGTGGGGAGGGGCTCCTTATTTTCATCTAAAGTAACAGACAGAGAATCAGCACTTTGGAAACAGGGCTGAAACAGAGGGGATTATGGGTAATGCTGCAATTATCTGTTTGGTGTTTGGAGCCAAACACTTCAGAGACATGTTTTGTATATATCTGAGACCTATAATATATTGATGAAAAACAGTATAATAGGGGACTTTTAATCCACCTATTTCCATTCTTAATGTCTGTCTTTCAGGAAAACGAGTGTATGCGAATCAAGATCCTGGGAGATTGTTACTACTGTGTGTCCGGTCTGCCTGAGTCGCTGCCTCACCACGCCAGAAACTGCGTGAAGATGGGCCTGGATATGTGTGAGGCCATCAAGTAAAATACCAGATCTCCCTCTCTCCTTCTCTGCCTCTCTCACACACACACAAACACAAACAACAAACAAACAAACAAACAAACACACGCCTGTCAAACAGATTGAGCGTTAGGAATGCCAGACTTCATTCCAGCTCTGTTTGAACTCCAGAATAAACACAATGTGAATTCAATATGATAAGCCTCCCTGGAAATGACAAACAAATGAAAAAATATTACTTTCCAGCTCGCCATTTTTCCGCTCTCTGTCTCCATGTTGTTCACTCATGCATGACGTCAAACACATCAGTTGTATTGACCAATATGTTTGCTTGCAGGAACTGACCTTTAGTTACAATCAGATTAAAGATGTCATGTCGAATCGTCTGTGTGTCAGTTATACAATACTATAAGATTTTTCTGTCAGTTATAGTGGAACATATATCTTCCATTACTTCCATTTGCAACATCAACAAAGACAAATATTTAAGGCAAGAAACAAGGAAACCACATTTTAAATGACATTTTAAAGGGGCCTTATTCTGCTTTTTGGAGATTTCCATTTCCTGCAGTGTGTGATATAGGTTTTTGTGAATTTAAATTCTCTACAAAGGCTAAAATCCCAAATCCAAAACACATTGTACGCTCTGGTTTCAGACGGATGGTGGAAAGAGGTTATGCAGCACAGGCAGTATGAGAAAAATAAATGTGTCACAAAATAAAATAGTGGTTACAGGAAGCTATGGGAGTAAATACCTAAAGCCCGCGTCACACTGTCCCGAAATTGACACCAGATGGAATTGTGAATTCCGCACGAAGATGGCCGCGAACTTGGTCAACAGCCAAGCAACAGCCGAAGCAAGTACGATGCCTACAGAAGGCCACACGATGGCAACCGAACCATACACTCAGTCATGTTGTTTCCATAGCAACAACAACTTCCTGTCAACAGCGTAAACTCACCTTCAAAATAAAAGCATCTAAATAAAATAGGAAGTAAACCTAAATTACATTTAAGACATACAACTGCAACGAAAGTAACAAAAACAATGTAATATCTTTTTCAGTTTCACAGAACACAAATTGGGTTATTTACATAATATGTTTACATGATTTTGTTGTGCAATAAATGCAATCTCGATGTCATCGTACTATAATACGATGGCTACATGACGACATTGCGAGGGCTTCACAAAGTCGTGTTGCCTTCTTAAGACAATCGGGCAGCTTCTTGTTTCCTTTGTGTTGTTTTCGTGAGCCGAAAAATGCCTGATGGCACTGATGATCACACGAAGATGAAACGATTTGACTAGATGCCCTCACGAGTGCCTTACGAAGGGCAAAATGGACACACAAATTCAACACGAAAATGAACCTTCGCAAGGTCCATCGTAAATTTTTTTGGCATGCCAAAGATTTTGCCACTGCTCACGAAGTTGCTGCCGGAGCCTGAGAAACTCCACCGGCGGTCATACAATGGCTTAAGCTGCCCTCACGAATGTCCCGATGATGTTACGATCAGAGCTGAATTTGAACATTTCCTTTATCGTGTGTCCATCTAGTGTCAATTACATTACATTACATTGCATTTAGCTGACGCTTTTATCCAAAGCGACTTACAATAAGTGCGTTCATCCAACAAAATACAAACTTGAAGAAAACAGAATCATATAAGTACATCAGGTTTCATAGAGCAAAAAAATGTCAAGTGCCACTCAACTGGCTTTAGATAAGCCAGTCCTTTATTAGTATATAAGTCCAATTTCGTGACAGTGTGACAGGGCTTAACCCAAAATCATAATTTTACTGATAATGTTTTATCAGACGAGAAACAGTTTGAGCACGTCATTCTGACTTCTCTGTTTGTGTATAGGCTAAAAAAACAAACATAAAATGTGGTTTTTATAACGAAAATAAGATTATAAATGTCAAGGAGTTTATGCAGATACAACATATTTAACCTTTTTTTTTTAGATTGATAGGTGTATTCAGAGTAGCTGTTTCCTCATTCTTCCTATCTTTACGCTAAGCTAGCTTCCTAACACTTCTTTTCCCCAGCTCTTAACTTCACACTGCAATTGATTTAAATCTTCTATCGAATAAGCACATTTACCCAAAAGTAGTAAACTTCTTATTTAAAGTGTAATCGTGCCCTCTTCTCTCCTCAGGAAGGTCCGAGATGCCACTGGAGTCGACATCAACATGCGTGTCGGTGTTCACTCTGGGAATGTCCTGTGTGGCGTGATTGGCCTGCGCAAGTGGCAGTACGACGTGTGGTCACATGACGTAACGCTGGCCAATCACATGGAGGCGGGAGGTGTGCCAGGGTAAGATATAACCAATTCTTCAAAACTCTTGATCTAACTGCTTATGCTGCTTTGCAAATCATTGACATCATTTTTTAGTTGCATAATGCAGAGGGAGAGTGTAGCCGTGGGATTTGACACTTCCTGCTCTCTCAGTGATTAATGTTGAGTTGCACTTAGCAAGTCACAGAATTCCCATCTGCTCCGTGTGGCCTAAAGTAGAAGAGAGAAAGTCCCAGAGGCCAACAGCTCCAACGTCATTATCTTGAGGTTGGGTCTCAAGGTGGTTGTTTTAAAGGCTTTTTCACTGTTCACTGGATAATACTCAGAACTTGGCGTTACATTTATCAGTGATCAGCATAATGTCTAGGACAGTCCAAACAAAAAATTGTTTTATAATATCGATGTGGGCTGAACCACATTCAACCACCCCCTGAAATATAAATATGAAGATACACCTGCGAGAGAACAATATATTGATCTGTTGCAGCAGCACCAAGAATAATAAAGGTTACAATTGATATGATAATCAATCAATCAATCAATCAATCAGCAATTTATTAATCCTGCAAGGGACAATTGGTTATGAGCAGCAGCTTATGTCATGTACACAGGCAGGAACATACAGGGAGAAAACACACCCGGGAGCACAGATGTGGATCATTCCAATTTACACTATAAATAGTTCATAGCATCACAACAATAAATAAATAAATAATCAAGTTAAAAGCCTTTCAAGAATTTCAAAGTTTGAGTGCAGAAGGGATGAATGATTTTGAAAAGCGATTAGTCCTTCGATCAGGTAGAGCATATCTTCGCCCTGATGGCAACAGACGAAATTCATGTGAAAGAACATGACCTGGAGAGGCCAGAATGCTCTCTGCTTTCCGCAGAATCTGTTGTTTACAGAAGGAATTTAACATTATGTATAAGTTCATTTTATCCATAATGTTCTTCATTCCCCCATTGCCAGTGGTGGAAAAAAGCCCTCATATTCTCTATAGTGTTGAAGGCCCTATTGTGTTTTGGGGTTTTCCTTTCCTGTAGTCTGTTATGTTAGGTTTTAGTAGTGCATGTAAATGGTTTGTAAAAGCTAAAGTCCCTCCCCCCCTGTCTAACACGCCTCAATTAGACTCCTTTGTTTAGTTCTGTAGCCTAATGACATCACTATGTAACACTCACGTTTCTATTGGCTAGCGTTTTTGTTGGCTAGCGCTACAACACATTGTACGTGATAGGCTAAGGGGGCAGGACATCTTTATGCAGTTGGCCAATGACAACAGAGCCGGCCAGCTAACCAATCAGAGCAGACTGAGCTCTAGTTTCAAACATAATAGGGGCCTTTAAAATACTGCGTTAAAAGTAAATGTCCTTTATTCAATATATTACTTAAGTCAAATTACAAAAGTATTATCAGCAAAATGTTCTTTAAGTACTCAAATACTTGTCATTACATTTAAAAGTTGAAGTTTGTAAGTTGAGCCGTAAAAGTTACATTTAAAAAATGGTTGCTAGATTATTAAAACAGTGTTTCATAATTTCTTATTAGCATTATATGTGTTTTTATATGTAGAAAGGCGCTAAATAGAGTAGAAAACACAATATTTGCCACCAAATATAGTAGAAGTATATGCAGTATAATACTGAAATACTCAAGAAAAGTATATCAAATTAAAGTACAATCATTTAATAAACATACTTTATTAAATTCCTCTGCTGCCCATTCATTGCTAACTTGTTTAACAGGAAGCGCATGTCTAAAAGCTCACATGTAACATCTGTCGGTTCTACTTCCTCCCAACATTTCGGTCAATTATCGCCACTTCATTTGACCAATCATCTGTACATGTGGACATGAGTTCTGCACTGTAACAAGCTGGGGAAAATTGGTGGATTTGTGGATGCTACGCAGAAAACGAGCTCCCCAGTGTCCCTCATGTATCCTCACCAGGCTGCTAATGGTTCTGTTTGCTCATAGGTGTCTGAAAAATAATCCCGCTGCAAAAAACACTCTCTCCACTAAATCTCTCTCTGCTCACAACGGTAGAAACAAACCTGAAAAGGGATAATTGCATCTGATTGTTGTAATAAGTCATTTTCCTTTTTTTTGAGAGCTGTTAATGGCACAGTGACGCATGCTCTTGACCTCTCACCCCCTGTCCTCTTATCACCACTTCCTGTCTCCTCTCCAGAAGGGTCCACATCTCTTCAGTGACGCTGGAGCATCTGAAGGGCTCCTATAAGGTGGAGCCTGGAGACGGGCTGAGCCGAGACTCGTACCTGAAAGAAAATGGAGTGATCACCTACCTGGTCATCAACCCAAAGGTCAGTCACCTTTAGTGACACGGTTTGATACATTCAACATTCAGAAAGCACCAATAAATATCCTTCTCAAGCACAAGAAAGAGCAGATGATGTGGTCAGCTTTTCTGTTGCCTGTTTTAAATCAAATAACTGTCCATATCTTGCACTGCACTATAGCTTTTAGTTCTGTAATTTGTCCCTGTCTTATTCTATTTTACCTTGTTTACGTTATTTATATTCTCTTGGCTTTTTAAAGGGGCCCTATTATGCTCATGTTCAGGTTCATATCAGTATGTAGTGTCTCTACTGTGACATGTCTCAATGCTTTAATGTTCAAAAATCTCTGTATTTTTCTCATACTGCCTGTGCTGCAGCACCTCTTTTCACCCTCTGTCTGAAACCAGAGCCCAGTCTGCTCTGATTGGTTAGCTGGTCGGCTCTGTTGGGATTGGTCAACCGCTCAGAAATGTGCCGCCCCTTAGCCTATCACTTACAATGTGTTGAAGCGCTAGCCAATAGCAGAGTGTCGTGGCCCATTCTCGTAGGATATTTAAAACTGATTTCTTTGCCTTCCTCTGGCGGATATATTTACTTCTTCCATAAAATTAAACAAACAAATAAACAAAATGATCAGTGTAACGTGAGGTCAAAGACTGTACCGATTCCCCGTTCCGTGCTGGAGACAATTTCCGGTGACGCTCAGTCCCACCCCTTCCTTATATAACAGCTGATTGATCACAATAAATCAAAGCTTTTCTCCGAATATTTAATTCAATACTAATTCATAAATGGAAAGAATATATTAAGATCTAAATTAATAAGAAAATAATACATTAATTATCAACACAAAAAATGGCTCTAACACAGAGCTTTGTTATGTCACTATGTTACCGAAGTAAACAAAGGAGTCCAATTTGCCTCAGATTAAAGGATTGAGAAGTTACTATACGTTTAATTTAATTAAAATTAATTGATAAACTGAGTGCTAAAATCAAATCAACAACAACATTACAAAATACAAAAGTAAGTATACCACGCCTAGCCTAAGCCACTGTGTGTTTAAAGTGTCTTCTGCTTCATGAATATGACCAGGAGGTCTCCACAACATGACAGATGCTACTCTCTTTCCTTTTTTTTCTGTAATGGGGATAGCTCTTGGATAGATGTTGGAAAAACGCTGTGGGAGCTCTGTGATATTTTCAAGAAAGCCCTGAAAGAGTCAAGGCTAAATATGGATCACGGCTCACAGGAGGTGTCATCTCCACTGTCACTGACCGTCACTGTCAGCGCTGTTCTCTAAACCCGCGGGAAATGAACTGCCATTATTTATTTAAACTCTTATAGACTAATGTGCCACGTTGTTTCAGTCACAATATCCATTTATTTCAGCAATTTAAATATTTAATCAGCTGACTGGAACTAGGAACATCATTTGACTTTGACAGTTTAGAAAACTGGTGTTTTTCTATAGACAGAGCATTTCAGCGCTTTTTGTTGATAACATCAAACCCAATCCACCTAGGTTAATCACAATGAGGATTGTTTGCTTGGCATTAATTAACAAAATATGTTCTAAAAGAGCTCACAATGCAAGGAAATGTTCCAAAATGGTCTGAAATGGTTCAGGTAGCAACATTACGCACGTTTCAAGCTAATCCAAAAATAGCATTGTGTTCTCTCTTACAAGTAATTACAATGGGAATTCATAAGCAAATGTTACATAGTCTGACTGCTGGGTCGTTGTCGTTCAACTCAACAAAATCATGATCTTCTGTTCCTGTGTGTTTCCTCAGACTGAGAGGCACAGCCCTCTGCTGGGGGTCCGCTCCCGGCCCTCTCTGGACGGGGGGAAGATGAGAGCGTCTGTCAGGATGACTCGGTACCTGGAGTCCTGGGGGGCCGCCAAGCCCTTTGCCAACCTCCACCATCGAGACAGCATGACCACGGACAACGGCAAGATCAACACAACTGTGAGTGTAATGCAATGTATTTAAAGGTCACCTATTATGAAAAATCCACGTTTTCATGTCTTTTATACCTAAACATGCGTCCCCTCTGTGTAAAGAGGGGACTGGAAGTTTCAGGAAAAAATATTTGCTCACCTTTTGTCCTGATCCATTTATATAAAAAAACACTTTATGATGTCATAACGATGTTTTGGCTTGTGTAACCATTAGCCAATAACCAACCAAGGTAACCCCCTCCCCCCCCCCACCTTATCACCTGAATCTCCTCCTAGAGCACCATTGTGTTCTTTTTAACCAAATATCTCTCAGAGG